AATGATACATGCGCACTTGTAGCATATCGTGATCAATACACGACCAATAAAAATCCACTACCTATGACCGTGGTATAACAATGTATGTTGAAGTCTTGCATTGCAGGGTATTGTGCATGTATGTTGGGCGTAATTAATGGCTGTGATTGGTCAGGACACAATGGGATGGGGCTTAATGGATGAGTCTGTTGTGTAAAGGGCTTAAAATGACATGCACATGAATATCATTTTTGTTACTCTTAGGGTGCTGGAGATTGCTATGTGGGTGCCCTTGCATATTACCTGGCTGTGAAACCTCACTTGAGCCTTGAAGAGATGAGCCAAAAAGCTTCATATGTTGCATCTATTAGTGTGCAGTCACCAGGAACACAAACCAGCTACCCAACTAGGAAAGATCTTCCAACTGACTTGTTTTAAAACTTGATGAAAGTACTCTCTTTGGACGAGTAAGATTTGACTAATTTGGTCAGTCATCTTTGCTATTGTAAGATTAAATGGAAAAGTTAAAGGCACATAGTATATTCTTTACCAAAACATTTCATTCACACTTCCTTGACAATCCCTCATCAACTTTACTTAAATTTGAAACAAATAGTATTAACCTCTGACTTTACCAAAATAATCATCACAGTACCATATAAATCACTGGTTCAGAATTTCAATTCAGACTTGAACTGTTGGCCTATTATAGATGTACACATAAAGTGGCCAATATTACTCTGCCAACACGTTTTGTATTTTTAATCATACGATTATGAAAATAAGGATGATGTTAATGTTGTACCCAAAATTGGTCATCTTGTTCTTACTTTGGACAAATGGTTTGATAATGAAATGTGTCTTTGCCTTAAACCAGGTACTGCCATGTTACTGTTAAAGGGACCCATATACTGGTACTAGAAATGCATGTAATGCACATATGGGGTTTAGTTAACCTTATTTTCAAGTTTTGTGTGCTGCCTTTTTTATTTTATGCTCATATGAATTTGCATATTTCTGAGCAAACTGTAGTGTAATCGGAGGCACTGAACCTCAACGTTGCATTGATCTGAGCACACAAAATTGCTTGATTTTTTGTACCTTGCTGTCAAAGATTTCCATTTCCTTTGAAAATTTTTCATATATATCTGGCAATATTAAGCCATTGAACAACCTTTTTTCTAAAATGTTTTCATAGAGCAATTTATTGTCATTTAGAGTACTGAAGTGAACAGGTCATGTGCGTGTATGTTAAAGGCATTAGCACAAGAATCAGGGCATGAATAAACACATGTACTCCATTTCTTTGCACTACTCTGTAGGCCTACATTCCAAGTTCAAACGATGTCACTCTTCGGCACTCTGTTTCTGGCAATAATCCAGCGAGCAACCTTTTCTCAGAAATGTTTTCAGAGTGAATTGGAGTCCAAAATTTGCACATGAAAACATGCAAACTGAACAGTGTCTTCCTGGATTTACATCGCACTACAGCGCCCTCACTTATCTAGAAAAGCTTGGTCACTTTTGAATTTTTTTTTTAAAGTGCACTTTACCATTCACTTAGCTTGTTAAGAGTTTCAGTCTGTTTTCATACACTGAAGAACAGTATAAACATGCACAAAAAGAGATTCTAAATTGATCCTTTGAACTAGTTTTACATGTGCATTCCAAGATATTTCAAAGACAATAAAGTTATAAGTAAAATAAAATTTAATTTACAATGTCATGGCAAGCTGAAATAGAAAATAAATATATGATTTACAACCAAATTTTAAACACAGCATTTTGCAGTGATACTTGACCTCAACTAATTAGCTGAATTTAATTTCGTCCATATATTCGCAATACTGTGCAGCCGTGTTTCACAAGCTGTTCAGGCCTGTTGTGAATTTTTGATGAGTTACTGGAATGAGATAGTTTTGGCACTGTACATGTATGTGGCTTTGTAAATGTACATGTATGTGGCTTTGAAATTGTGGTAGAGAAAGTCACCCATTTGAGTGGTTCTTAATTTGCTATTGCAGGAAAGTAAGTTGTTGCAGTGAGCTCATTTCCTGCCTTTGCTCCGTGAATTACGTTATGCGTAGACTTGACTCAAGTCGGGATCTTTGTGACCTCTTAGGATATCGAGACCGCGCGCCGCCGTTACTTGCTTCACTCCCTCTTGTGTCCACTCGTAAGTGTGACGTCACTTCAGTTTAAACCACGCCTACTGCACATGTACTACACAGATTTACATGCATTGATCGCTGTTTCCACAAAACCAGAAGTTAACGTTCAACTTTAGCGATCGTTCAGTGGGAGCCTGCAAATCATGGCGCTCTGCCTTTGTGACGAAGTCACTTACGAACCGGATGACTTCAGTTCAGAAATCCCGACTTGACGAAATTGCCAACCATTTTGTATATTCTTGTCGATATTCTGATCACGGTGCCACGCAGCTTTCAATATTTATTTGTACACAGCGAATGGACTCATCTACTAAAAGTGGTAGCAGCCAATCACAGTGCCGAACTTGTTTTTACGCCGTTCATACCTGCATTACAATGAACGAGTTTACAGGGCTGACCACTTTGGTGGGTAATTATGGTCCGATTGTCTTATCGGAGAGTTGGACTACGTATGAAACACGTTGTACAATATTAAACGCTATCAAATATATGAGGGTGCCTTGTATGGCTAAAGGTTATGGGAGCTGCCGAGCCAGCCGCCGAGCACGACGACTGTGTAGTGCGTACAGGCTGAAAGTTGGCTGACCGGGGGAGAGCAACGTAAGTCCGACCTGGTTCAAGTCTTCGCTATGTGCTGTTGGCCGATCTGCACGATCGTCTGATCGCTGTAGTCGATTCTAACGCGAAGGGCTTAATGTCTGGGGGCACCTGGGGATGCTCACATTATTGGGCCACAAGAAAATAAGCTGCAGCTGCAAATATATAAACTGAACAGAAACTATTCACGGATTTCAAAGGGGGGGGGGGCGTAGTTATGACACTACTTACGCATAATCAACTTTAGTAAACAATCTGTCACAACCATGAATTAGGCCACTTTAAAAAGGAGATAGTTTAGCATCAGTTGTATTTACCAAAAAAAACTGAGGAGGGAAGATTTTTTTTGATACGTGTACTTTGGTACTCCCATGGAGAAATAACCATGCATACTCCACATGCTGATCAGGACTGGCGCAACGGAACGAAAGCGCCATGTTCACTTCAGACTTCAGACAGAAGTGCATATGACGTTGTGTATGTACATGTACTCGGGTTGCATGTTGTACACGTACGAAGTTGTGTAGGCATTGTTCAAACTCAGTATGGGCGACAGCTAGGGACATCGGATAAGACAACTTTTAAAGAAAAAACATACAGCAAGATTTTTTAGGCGGGCGCTGATGCTAAACTATTTTTTCCATGTGGCCTTACAAAGCTGATGGTTGATGGCGGAATTATTGACAAATCGCGCAATAAGCTCGACCAATCGTACAAAGATTGGTCCATGGCATAACCGATCACGCTCTCAACTTACATGTATCTACTACCTCGCCCGTTCCAGTCCTGTTCAGCCTGATCCTAACATTGATCACGTTAATAACTAATTTCTTTGCTTCTTGTCCGAAGTAATTTGCTTTACAGTAATCACTTGGGTGCACTGGCGTAAATCTGAGCTGGAAAATGCAAGGGGAGTGGGGACGACTTGCCTGGCCATGGAAATTTGAATAGTGGGAGGGACGCTACACCATATACACTATATACACGTAGGGGCGAATGTTCATGATGATGTACATCTGTATATGTATCAAATTTATGCAGAATTTTTTATATCAGAATGGCATATCTATGGATTTTTTAGTGATGCTGTAAACATTTTCGTCTTTGGGAAATCCTAGAAATTCTTAACAATCCGCTTGAATGTTTTTGCTCATCACAGAGAAGTGTGTGCGTGTGGGGGGTGCTTCAATAGCCCCCCCCCCAAAAAAAGCGGGGATATACCCCCGGAAGTTTACGCCCATGCTTTGTGTCTGTTAATTTTAGATTTTTTTATTTTTTTCTCTCCATACACATGTATACAGGATTTTAAAACCACTTTCACCCCCCCGAAAAGAAAAAAAAATAGAATTTTCAAATTCGTCCAAACGAATTCCACGTCCTACTGGAAGGATCGGTGTATCTCCACATTGGAAACCATGTAAAGAAAAATCATCACAAATTAAATTCACCTTCGTTGTTGCTGAACGGCTACGTTTGGAGATCAAATTTGTACTGCATCACTTTAACAATTCACGATGAACACTTGTCTCAAGCATTCCCTTCGTTCTTCAGAAGAATTCCGTGGAGTAAATTACCATTAGCTTCCACGAGACTTATTTTCTTCCTGTAGCATTAGCATGCACTTCACTAGCATGTGAGTCAACTATCTTGTTAAGAAAGTTAATTCAAAAGAAAAAACGCAGGAGAAACAATAGATACAGCGAAAAATATATTTATCTGTGACCTTCATGCCTTCTCATGAAGACGTCACTGTTAGAAGTAACGGGTTTGAACCCACATCAAGCTTAGTTATACGAGTTTACTGTCAATGATGCTCATATGGAGCATCAGGTATACGCCACGGTGCCATACTCAGTGGAGAGAAGACCAGTCCTAATTTCTATCTGTTGGAAAATGGAAGGATTATTAGTCACAAATGTTAACTATTAGCAACTGAATATTGCCTAAGCTGAACGAAATATTTTTGATAAAAACTGACCTCTCGCCTAAATTTGATATTTAAAACACCGTAACTGTTTTATGGAACACTGCTGGTCAAAGATGAAAAAAAACAAAAAACAAATAAGAGAACAAAAACAATAGTGTTTTAAGATAAAAATGCATTTACTTCTAATTTTTGGGCTCATCACCGTCCATCCTGAGTTTCTTATGTTTTATATTTTTAATTTTTCCCTCTTTCTTCAAGAACTGAAAAAATCGTTAAATTGAAAGAAAAAAATGTCCTCGCGGTCATAATGTTGAATTTCCATTAAATCACTTTAGTGAAATCCAGCAATGCAACATCAACAAGGTTGTTGTTGTTTAATTCCTTACTAATATCACGGATTGTCAAGATGAGTTGAATTTCAGTTGATCTTTTAGCCCGGAAACCATGTTGGCAGTCCGTAAGAATCTTAGTCATCATCCAGGTGTTTCACGACATGACTGTGGATGATGTGCTCCATTACCTTGCATATGACCAAAGTCAAAGAGACAGGCCGGTTAGCAGGACAGTTTCTGTTTCCGTTTTGAAGATGGGTGCTATGTTAGCCTCCTTCCGTCCCCTCGGTACGGATCCAGCCTGTTGATTGAAGACTGGAACAGATCTTGAAGAGGGGTGGCCAACTCTTCTGTCCCCATCTTAAGGAACCACGATGGTGGAATGCCGTCAGGTCCAGGTGATTTATTTACATTAAGTTCCCTCAACAGCTTAATGATCCCGTCCTTTGTAATGCTCAGATGACCAATCTGATAATAAGGACTGGTGTCCAAAAGATGGAACATCTCATTCCCCTCCTTATAGTGAAAACACTCTTGAACTGTTGATTTGATACATTGGCCTTTTCCACGTCCTCAGTGACCATCATTCCATCCCTTTCCTGGTCAGCGATATCATGACTTTCTTTGTTCAGTTGTTTTACATAGGTCCAAAATCGTTTTGGTGCCTCTGCTAAAGCAGTACCCAAGAAATCCCTTATATATGAATGCCTTGCTTGCTTGATGAGTTTGTGTGTGTTTCTCCTACACTCCTTGAAATTATCCCAGTCAGTGGTTCTCCCCGTTTTAATGGCCTTGTTATAAAACCTCTGCTTATTTTTGACGGTGCGTCTCAGCGATCGATTGAACCATGGAAGATTAAATCTACTGGATGTAAATTTGTGGGGTACATGTTTCTCCGTGGTTTTTGGTAATAGCTGAACTAATTGCTTCCCACAACTGTTTGTAACAAGGTCCCATTTTACTATTCGGACCCCCCTCCCGGTCTTTCCGAAAGATTGTGTGATTGACAGGAAATACTTCACCATTGCCGACACTCGAATCTAACCACGATTCAGTTCCGCATACAAAATCAGGTCTTAACTTCCCTCTTTCCCGCATGATCTAAGTTAGGTCGGACTCAGAAACTGGTGAATTACTATCGCTATCCAAAGCTTGAAATGGGTTTTCAGTAGACACACTACCTTTCAGAAAACAATAAACCTGAAAAGTTCAATTCACTACAAGATGGACAAATCCAGTTGCATCTTGAATTCATGAGATAAAAGTACAGTTCATTATCCAATACCACAGCAAGCACAGTGCAGCCATTTATCACAGCTATCACATTGCACCGCATGGTGGTGCCGAAGAACATCACCGTCGCACACACTACACAGAGCACAACAGTCAGGACAATACTGTGGCGGGCATCCCCGGGCCTACCCTGAGTTGATGGGATCAAACCAAGCACTATTAGTGGCAGAGTCGATCTTCCCAACCTAAGGCTTTTCCCC